ATTTGTAAAGAATTGCTTCTGAGTTGTACTTGTCTCTTCCTTGCCGATATGGGGAGCCAGAAGAGAGAGGCAGGAAGTAGTAGTAGAGAGAGCTGGTTTTCCTGAAAGGTAATGTAAGTTTCCCCATCATTCCCTTTGACTTTTCCTAAGAATTGGATTCAGCAAGGGTATGTGTGCCTGCTGTTACAAAGCATGTTGCTGTGGCTAACCTTTTTGTCTTGGTAAAACTCTGTCACCAGTCACCTTCCTCAATTGCCCACTGCACTAAGGGCTTTTGGGGATTTTTTGGCAGGGGAGGGGCTGGTTTGGTTTTTCATTTTTTCTTATCTTTACTTGGGTACTTATTTTCTGTTTACTGTCCTTAGAGTTCAAGGTTCTGTGGTCTTTGTCTTTGTACCATAGGGCTATATGCCATATGCTTGCTGGGAAGCCCTAGTGTTGTGAAATATTATTTTAAGATGTGCTTCATTTGTTTAATTAAATAAAATTAACCTGGTGTCAGGAGGCTGAGTCAGCAACTAGCTGACAGGAAGTGGTAAGGAAGAACCAGGTGGATCTAGGGTTCTTAAGGGGGGGCAGAAGGACACCCTGTTTTGAGGGGAGACACAAGCTAGGAGAGAAGGTTAGCTACTTGCTGTTTAGCCCCTCGGAGCGAGCAGAATTTCACCTTGATCTTTGAATCCTGAGTTCTATAGAGGGATAGAGATCTATAGAGATGAAGTTCCCTCTAGCAACCATGATAGAGCGGGTGCCTGAGGGAACAGAATTCCTGCCTGGCTATGGCCAGTGTGGCTGAACCCCTACTGGTAGCTGCAGAGTGGCAACTGTTGATTAGGAGGGCAGTTGCTTAAGAAATTGCTACTGAATTTAATGAAAAACTTCACCCTAGAAGGTGACAGTGCTCCATTGTCTTCATGTAAGTTCAGTCTTCTCTCAGCAAGTTGGGTGTCAGGATCTTCTCTGAAGAGAGTCCTAGGGAGGTCTATCCCTTGTTCACCTAATCAGCCCCCACAAGCAGCTCCCAAAGAAGACCCCTGTCTCAGGTGTTAGGACATGACCATTCTTGCTTAAAAATAGTCAGTGCTATCCTGGGCTTCTGGCCCCCGTGGCCTGCAACAGAGGACACAAGAGCCTCTGGAATGTCTCAGCATAGCTGGGGTAACCAGATCTCTGCTCAGATCCAACAAATACTCTTGGAGCCTCTCGGCCGCAGCTGTTTTTAGCAGTGGAGTTGGAGGGAGGGGTGCAAATAGGCCTTGGTGTTCTGGGAGGCTTGCCCCCCCCACACACACACAGTCTGAGGTACAGTTGCTTTATTAAAATTCAGCTGTTGGAGTGACCCAGGCATAGAGAAATGAAAAGCCACCCTCACCAGCTGCTGGTGGCTGCAAGCTGCTCCTTCTCCCCACATAAGGACATGTTACTCCTATTAGAAACTGGTCCCTTGGTTCCTTAAGAGGGGGGCATCTGCCAATCATAAATCAAGCTTGTGGCCACTCCAAATAAAGAAGTCCCCAGCTGGCAGTCCCTCTATACTTGACAGGCCTTTTAAAAATCCTATTCTTGAATGTATACTCTTTTCATAATTAAAAAAATACAAAAGGTAATAAAAATAGAAGAAATCTACTGCTTGGAGATTTGAGATTCAATAAAGAACTTGGCAAGTCAGAAGTTCTGGATCATATGAGGATTATGGGGAGAAAAATAAATCAATTCTTTACCCGGTTACCAGAAAAAAAAATAATAAAAGAGAAAAGTGGGATTGTTCAAGAAATGGAAAGTAATTAGAACTAGTCCTTAAAATTTGGAGGCAATGGGAATCCACCCAAGGGGGGGGGGACTGCTGGGGAGATGCCCCTAGCCTCTTCCTTATCGTGATCCTGGGGTCATACAGAAGCATCAACAGATGTCACAAAGGGGCTAATGACCATTATGTCCTAATGAATGATCCAATGGTCTGTGTGAGGGAGAATCTCAAGGATGGGGTGCAGAAGGCTGACAGTGCAGTGCCTGGAGGAGTGAACAGAATCAGTAGTCAGAAAAAAACAAGCACATTTCTGGTTTCGTCAGCCCCTCCTCCTTAGGGTGTTTCCACTGAGGATTTGGCTCCTGTAGACAGGCTTTGCAGGGTAAAGGGGGCCTCAGAGCCTAAAGACAATGCCATCTCTGCTACTTTGACCTTTGTTACCACATGCCTTTTCTTCTTCTGAAGTAAGCAAGTATAACAAGGCCCATCTTGTCACTGTTGGATCTTTATATGATGATGTGAGGAAGTGCCTGCTGTTCACTCTGTAAGTGTTCAGCAATAGTGACTGAGTTCATCCTGGTCTCCCTTGCCAGGGAGGGCCACCCCTCTCAGGCTTGTGTGTCATAGCTGCTCCTCATTTGGAAGGAGACTTCTCTCGTTTTTCTCTGTCCACTAACAGGGCTGATTTCATCTATAACTGAGGGCATTCTTTTCGGAATAAGGGAACTGATAAAATTTGTGATGCTCATAACTCTCAGAAAATTATTTTTTTCCTACCTAAATCCTTCACAAAAATCACTGCCTAGCACCAGGGTGGCTTTCAGAACTGAACTGTGCTTTTGTGTGAAATGTCACATCTCACTGGTGAGTGGACAAGGCAGATCCCACAGCCTCAGGTGTGTGTGTGTGTGTGTGTGTGTGTGTGTGTGTGTGTGTGTGTGTGTGTGTGTGTGTGTGTGTGTGTGTGTGTGTGTGTGTGTGTGTGT